GGGTTTTATTCAACAATTTTAATCTTAAAGATTTAGGTACTACAATTTTATAAAAATTCTTTTTCTTAATTACCATCATATCATTTATCTCTTGGTAATTTTTTCCGCAGACATTATCAGTTTTTTGTTGTTGGATTATTTCATTTCTATCAAGTAAATGTACATAATGTTGGAGGTGCTGTGAAACAGGATGTCTAGAAAGCATGTCAGCTTCAATATTGGTAGAGCCCTTCTGATACTTTACTTCATAATTGAACATACTTAGTTTGAGTGACCAACGGAAGAGTCTACCTTTTAAATTTTTAACATTTTTGAGCCAAACGAGGGCCGCATGGTCCGTATGTATAACAAATTTTTGTCCATGCAGATAGTAATAGAATTTGTCTAGGGCATCTACTATGGCCAAACATTCTAACTCAGTAATCGTATAATTTTTCTCATAATTTCTTAAAGTTCGGGAATGATATGATACAGGGTGAAGGACATCATTTTCATCTGGTTGTTTCAAAACAGCTCCAACAGCAGTTTGAGAAGCGTCAACAAAAATATGACATGGCCTACTGGAATCATACAATTGTAAAACAGGTTTGGAAATCAGTATTCTTTTCATTTCGTCGAAAGCTTTTTGACATTGGTCATCCCATTCCCACTTGACATCTTTTTTCAAGAGTCTGTTTAATGGAGCTCTAATAGTTGCATAATTCGGAATGAATCTATGATACACATTCACACTTCCCAAAACTCTTTGTAACTCTTTGGTGTTACTGGGGTTTTTAAGTTTCTTAATAACTTCTATATTATGGTTATCGGGAATTATTCTACCATTTTTTATTTCATAGCCAAGAAATGTGATCTGATCTCTGGGCGAACACACATTTGTTTCGATTCAATTTAATATGCTCCTCTTTAAACACCTCAAATAAAATTTTTAAATGTTCTAAATGTTCCTTCTCAGAGGAAGAGTAAACGATTATATCATCAAAGTAACTGCAAGCGAAATTAATTTTATTTTTTGTTAATATTCGTCTAATTGTTCTGTTAAAAATTGCAGGAGCATTTTTGAAACCAAAAGGGAGTCTTAACCATTCGAATAATCCAAAATTCGTGCAAAAAGCTAATTTCTCAGTATCTGCAGGGTGAATCGGGATATGCCAGAAACCAGATCTCAAATCAATTGTAGAAAATACTTTTGCTTTACTTAATTTGTCTAACAAAGTGTCAATGCGAGGAAGAGGGTTTGCATCTGTTTTAGCCAGGGAATTCAATTTTCGATAATCTATACACAATCTAGTTTTTCTTACCTTCCTCACGTTTAAGTACTAAAGTCACGGGGGACGAATATGGGCTACAACTTTCTTTAATTATACCTGCTTGTAATAATTGATCAATTTGGGTCTTAATTTCCTCTTCTTCCATAGGGGATGTTCTATAAGGTCTTAATGATACAGGCAAATCAGAATTTAAATTAATTCGTTGAGGTTCAATATTAATTTTTCCTACATCATACTTATTTTTAGAAAACACAGATGAATAATCATTTAACAATTTTTCCAAGTTATACTCTTTGTTATCGACAGTATTAGAAACAGCATTTTTCACATAAATGTTAGACTGAGAAACTAATTCCTTTGGATTTGTAGTCCGAGATTTACAGGTTGGAAAATTTCTTACATCATCATCATTATTAACACATGGATAAACATTTGTTGTACCACCTTGAAGTTGGAGGTGTAGAGATATGGGTCGGCTGTCAAAATGGCAGTCATCATTAAGTACAATAGCTCTCTGTTTAATTTTTAAATTAGTACAATCAATACTCAACTCAAATAATTTGCATTCATAAAGTCCTAAAATTACATAATTCAAATTATTATCAAGAACAAACAAGGTAATTTGGTTACTAATCCGTCCAATTTTCATTTGTATACAACATATTTTGTTGAAGATTATTTTTTCCTTTAGTTTGGGTTACTGAAAATGATCTAACTCTTTGTACTTTTAAACGTAATTGTCTAGCTGTTTTGGAAGAAATTATTGATATGGTGGCACCACTGTCTACAACACACTCTAGACGTTTCTTATTGGGCAAATATCCCGACACCTTTAATAGTCAACTACTGTGAGGGGTTTCTGGGGTTGGTTCTATTGCAAGGGGCGTAACATTAGGTGTATCAGATCTCTCCCCTCTGAAAGGACAAACCTGAAACCAGTGAAAAGCATTTGGGATTCCGTTCCGGGTGCAAAGTCTACAGGGACTGGGTGGCAATGGCAATCTATTTTGAGAATTATAATTATGATGGCTTGTAAATCCTTGGACCACTGAACCGATTATAAAAATTACTTGGTCTCTGAAAACGTTGGAAATTGTTGGGTCTAGGAGAATCTTGTCTCACAGTAGTTTCATAGCTTGAAGCTGAAATTCTACTTCTATTAAATCGATTGTAATCTTGGGGACTGTTCCCAATCGGAGTAACAAATCTGGGAGGTGCACTTTTGATTTGTTGATTTTCGCTAATCTTAATAAGCTTATGGACATGAGTAAGCCAAGAGATGGGGTCAGAGGGTGCGTTGATCGTCATTAAGGATTTTAATTCTATAGGAAGGCCATCCGTCAGACCCTCCAAGATCATTTCATGAGTTAGATTTAATTTTTTACCAATATCTAATTTTTTGCGAAAATATTGCGTTATGTCCTCTTTATGATTGTACTTGTAATTGGCAAAATCACCAAACGTAGTTAAAGTGGGGTCGAAAAAATTTTCCTTTAAAATTTGGACTAATTCCACATATTTAGTAATTTTATGGCAGTTTTTGACATATACGCTAAGTGCATTACCTTTTAGATATCGAGCTACATTATTAAGCTTCCACGTTTCATCTTTATCTAAATGAGTTTTGTTAAAGTACTCAAGCCATGAATTTATATCCATATCATTCTGCGCGTCAAAGGGAATTATACTTGTTTCAGGTTCAGCGCTAGCTGCCCTTAATGAATCATCAGGATCAGAGATGGTTTTCATTAGCCATTATTCTCTTAATAATACTAATAAACTTTCATAAATAAAACTAACTCAAAAATAATACTCTTTAAATTTTCCCAAAACAATATTAAAACCAAAATACATCCTTTAAATACCAAATTTAAAATACATTTATACCAAAATAATACTTTTTTAAAATTTTCAAAATAAAAACACTATTATTAAATCAGTAATTATAATTCAATAGTAATAATATCATTTGCATCGCCAATCTTTTTACTAATTGCTTCTGTTTGACTTATTGTGACGAGAATACGAGTGATGAAATCGACACGAAAATACACATTTTTGTGCACTCTTGATTAGATTTTCGCAAAAACACGATCAATCACCACACAAGCACAAAGCTCTCGAGAGCAACACAGAACGGCGTAGACGTAGGGAAAGATTTCCATCCTCAAAAGTAGGTCAACGGTAAGAGCACATTTGATGAACGACGAACTTTCGATGGAAACACAGATCACGCATCACAGGGGGCAGAAGGATGCTTCTCTGGACGTAAAATAATCTGCAGAATACCAGAATACAGGTAACAGAAGGATGATTTCTCTTGAAGCAAGAACGCCTAGAGAAAAATGTAGAAACATAGAAGTCGCACAGCGGCAAATTCATCTAAAGTGCGTAACATTTTATCCGTATAATCCTTGGGGTATCTTCTTTTTTAGATAATCCCTTTGAAGGTGGTATCCTACCGGCTTTCTGAAATGTAATTTCTCATACATTATTTGTTTTGTGCAGCCGGGGCAACAGGAATGAGACAAATTTTGGAATATAAAGTGGTAGGTTTATTTTAGCATCCATCTCACAAGCGTTCTCCTCGTACCTTGAGCAGAAGCCCTACTTATACATATGTGTGCGTCACGAGGCTCCTCCAATCAGCGATATTAATTGAAATCACGAGGTGACGCTATCTTCTCATCAGGAGTGTTCTTAAGGACTTTATGTAATATGACAGATTTATGAGTTTGGCGATTTGGTGGGTGCCAACAAGTTAATATATTTTATACTAAAGAAAGGATTTTGCCAAAATTTAGGAACAGGGATGCAATTTAGGTAGAGAATCGCCAACGCATTATTAAGCAATATTATTAGAATTTAATTTAATCAATTGATTTAAAAATATCATTACATACATATATGAGGAAGTCGGAGTCTTTAAAATTCCAAGAGTTGGAGTTGGTCATTTTCCCTACCGACTCCACAGCCCTGTAATGTGAATAAATGAAAATACAAAATTATGTCCAAACTGATATGCAAAAATCAAGTTAAAATGTACTTTCAAAGCTTAAGTCTAGTGCTAACACAGCTAAGATTAATCTAACTTAATTTATCAAATTATTTCGATTATTCAGCCCATATTATTGTGGGAAAATATGATGCAAAAAAGTGAGTGAGATATGTTAGTTGTAAGAAAAAAAAATCTGACTAAAATTTTGGATGGAGATGTAAGGGAAAAAATACTGACTAAAGAAAGTTGTACTAGTGGCAATTTAATGAAATTGAATTGACTTCTTCATGGGGACATTAACCTTTTTCTCATTCTATTGTTCAATAATTAAAGAAGCTTGAGTAAGCATTTTCGTTCTTTCAGCCAACTTGAAAATTTACATAGAGAACCCAACTAGTTCTTAAATAAATTAGAATAGCATCCCTACATTTAATCAGGTTTACATTAAGAGTTAAAACGTATCTACAGAAAGTTTCATAAATTAATAATTAATTCAAAGATTGATCAAGTTAAATAAAATTAAATTAAAAAGAACAATTAAAATAAATTATGAAATGTCTAGAAATAAATCATATCTTATACAAAAAAACATAGTATTATACTGCATATTATAGTATTACATTGTTTTATTAATAATTTTATACATAAGAATCATTTCAAGGTATGGCTATTTTGTTAACATACTATATTCTTACATAATCATGGTTTTTAAAAGAATGTAGAAAGGATACCAGTTAGATTTGCTCCAATATCAATAATCCTTCTCCTGATAATTGGTGCTGCCATCATGCATGGTACCTGAAATTAACATTCAATTGATTTATTTGCTTGTTGATTGGTTTAAAATTTTATATACAGTATAATAAAAAAGTGCGTTTCATGAAAAATTTTAGAAATATTTTATATCATTATATAGATCTTCTTTTGTTTTCTCTAATATTACAGTATATAATCTTTTAATCTTCTAAAGAAACTGAAATACACATGATTTTTAAAAATTACAAATACATTTCATAATAATGTAAACAGCCCTTATAACAATGAATTCCAAATCTTTCTATCTTCTTCAGTAGCTTTCTCACTTGCATTTTTCATCATGTGATTTAAAAAATTTTGATTTATCTTAAGACTAAAATTTATGAACAAATAAAAAAGTACTTTGTATCAGTGAAAAGAATATTATTAAATTAATAACTTTAGTTTACTTTTATGAAATACAGAATACAGTTGTATTAATATGTCTATTCACAGGCATTTTTTAGTGTGTTATGTGTTTCATTTCATCCATGCCATCAGAAATGGCATTTATTGGATAATTTTTACCTTTTGATTTTCAAAAAGCAAAATTATTTACAGAAGGGTATAATTAACAGAAGTGGTAACAATACAGTATTTGAAGGAAATCTGATTTGATTTTGCAAGTGTTAAAATTTGATTTTCAACTTTTCGTCGTTCACTTTAGACAGAATATCGAATACAACATTATCACTTACACATTTCTTTTTAATAAATTGACCTTCTTTGAGAAGTCATATCCAAAAGTTAACAGCAATAATAAAAAATCCACTTTCAATTAACAACTTCAGATTTAATTTTCGAAAGAAAAACATGAATATTTGGAATTTATAATCAGTCAGAATTTAACCTTCGACTGACGCTGATTTCGTAAAAGACTTCTAGGCGTTTTGAGAAGAAATGCTCATTGAAAAAAAAAAGGGGGGGATATATATTAGTAATCCTCAAAATTCTTTTGGATTTTGAACTTCATTGCACAAATTTTCTGTAAAATCAGAATTAGCCAACTTTCTGGTAGTGATAACTGAAACAATGTCAATTTCAATGCTCACAGTAAAAATTAATACTTTAAATTACGTTTAAATAAAACCATTAGCATTTTTTCCTGAACTGTATAGTATTAAATAATCAACTATATTTACATTTGTATGCAAAATAGAGAATATTTTATAATTCATAATTTCAATATGTAATTTTATAAATTAAAATATCAACCGATTAAAAAAAAAGGAAAGGAAGAACAATTTTTAATTTCAGGAACAAATTTAATTTTTACGACTAAGGGAAATGAAATCCACTTTTATTAATAAAGTGTGTTAGAATCCAATTTTTCTCACTTTGTTTTTACATTCATACCGAATTTTCTAGCATAAGTATGTTAAACAGACTAGTGGTCCGTACATGAAATTTCTGGGTTCAGAAAGCCGTTAATCCAGTAAGTTAACTAAAATGTTCCTACGTTTAAAACACTTCGGTGATACGTTAACTGTTTATCCGCCGTATGACTAACAAACAGACTACGATTTCTTTCTCCGTTTAAAAGAATTATTCGATATGAAATATATTTTTCTCTTTATTTTTAGACAGAATCACAACCATGGATGATTATTATGACATTTCAAGCTTTAAATATATGTTCCCGAAAGAAATAAACATACATGTGAGAAAGACAGACAGACAAAGTAGCCAAAAGTCTTGTTTTGCATTCGCTAAGTCTTTCTCCGGGGATAGGCGAAAAATCAAACCTAGGTGCGAAGGCAAGGTATATACGAGTTCAAAAGGCCAAGAAGAAAAGAATGGGGCAAAATAAAATTAAAATAAATGGCCCAAAGCAATGTAGGGAAAAAAATAAAAAAAAAGTCCTATAGAAAGAAAATGAAATGAAGTAGAAAATTTAATAAAAATACGATTAAGTCCATGCGAGTAGTCAAAAGGGGACGAGGCCGTGCTCATTTGCTATAAATAGTGTCTCCCAGGTGTGTGTAGTGAGTGCGTTTAGTAAAGCTGAATAGATGTAAGGATGAGAAAATCAAAGATTGGGGGTCAAATTAAGATAAAGATTGGCAGTCAAAGTCTAGTTGAGAAGCTAACTTCTGTTAAGGATTCTGCCTCCATCGTTTGCGTGTGCAGCGCCTAGAGTGAATGTGTCTAAAACCGAAAAAGAAACCTTTGATTAGGAATGTAACGTAAAGTATACAAAATTAACATAAATTTGGAATATATGCATAATTTTATAGCATAATTAGCATAATTTTATTCATGAGCACATATAGGAGATTTAATTTTGTAACATATAACGTATACAATATATCATATAATTTTGAGCACCGCTGGGAAGACAAGGCATGCTAATATAAAATAAAACCTTATGGGTAAATAGGATTATAAACTGCTCGTTATTTTGGGGTCGCCGGTCATCGTTTGAAGAAGTCCAGGATAAATTAACATGACTGGTTCCTGAATCGTTGAAGCTGTTTCAGCACTTTGTATTGCAGCACACAAGAACCTATAAGTCACTCTTGTTGTCATATGAGGTGACTATAATTTCGAATGAGGAAATCCTAGCAGCAACCACCAGATGAATATGTAGTCTAGAACGCAAAAACACTAAAGAAATGAAACCGGAAAAAATAAAAAAAAGACTAGAAACTTATACGAGAATTTAGGGCGAGAATTGTATTGTTATATACATCAATCAACACCCAGATGCTACCAAAACATCTAGTTGGTCTTGATACTACTCTTGCCCCACAAGAAGTTCCTGACATCTAGTCACATGGGAGAAAAGCAGACGATGAAAAAAATCACAGTTTTAATGCCGCTTCAAATGTTTAACGGTACGATGCAGTAAGTACGTTTGTTATGTTATGTACGTTTACGAATACGTTAAGTATAGGTTATTAAGATTTATCTTCAAAAAATTTTTGTTTTTTACAACCATTTTACGAGTGATTAATTTAACTACAAAAGGAAGTTAACATAAATCAGAAGCGGGATTATTCTGAAACCTAAGCTTAGAATTTGCTATTACGAATATAAATTGAAAAGAATTTGAATTTCAAGGTATGTGCATTAATTGATGTAACATAATCATTATAGAATTTAATTTTGTTATTTTTTTATCATTTTGGAAAGATAGTTTATTATTTTCATTTCTTTAAATTTTGAAATATATTTAGAACGTCAAACAAACATTTGGTGCTACTTTGGTAGACGGTTGCACGGATTTTTGGCGATTTACGTTGGCGCAATTGTTAGCGCGATTTTTACAAACGTCAGCCATCTTGAAAAACGCTGTTTTTACGCATAGTAAAGTATTCGAAACTTAAAAAATATATAAATAAATATCGTTAAAAGTGATGGATTAATTTTTTGTTGAAAATGGTGTTTTTTAAGATGGCAGGCAAATGTAAATAAATACATTTACTATGAGTATAAAATACTAAAGTAAGGTTATTATTACTTTCATATAGCAAAGAAGAGAATAAAAACACCGCTATAAAAACATTGGGCCAACGTTTAATTAGATTAAAATATTACTGAAATTGAATATCGAATTAAAAACCATCATACCAACATTTAAAAGAATTAGAATATTATTAAATTCAAATACTTTAAAATACATTATATAGAATATAATTAACATTAAAACATATGGACAGTAATTATCTCAGCAATTTCTGAAAATAGTGTATTAATTTTTTTAACAAAAATTGAAGTATACAATTATAAAATAAAAGAAAAATATGTACTTACATTTTTTTCAGTGTTTAACCTGTTGTTTATTGATAAGTACCACAAAAAAAAATCAGAATCATAATTTGGCTAAATCGCAGAATAGGCTGCATCAGTCGATGCTGTGTTTACTTCTCTTATGCTTGGACACGCCTTTTTATGACGTAATATTGGTTACGCCTCTTCTTCAAAACAAGTTATAAGTATGCTATAGCTTCGTATTTACAGAAAACTTATATTATATTTTAACTGAGTTGAAATAGTAGGTTTATAATGTTCTGTGCGAGATTTTTTAAATTGTAAATCTACTTTTGTGTGTTGTGTGGTATTGTTAGCATTTAGCGCAACGAATTATCCCTCACAAATGTATTATTAAGATACCAAACGATTGAAAACGATCATTAGCAAACGATTGAAAATATTGAATGCATGAATTAAAAATTATAACCGTAACTTCTGAAAATACAGAAAAGAATTCTTTTGCTTAAAGAGTCAGCTTTGATGTTGAGCACGTAAGTGATGGAGTGGCGATCACCGAGGCAAGCGGCTGGACGTTCGCAGCGCTCCGTAAAAAAGTGAAAAAAAATTCCTTTCCCCTTGGGGAATATCAATTAAATTACATTGAAATACTGATTCTTCTACAATACCTACACGTTTTCAAAAGTTTTTCAGTTGCGATGTTGATGAGAATGAAACAGCGGACAATGTGAGGAAGTACAACGAAAGGCTGGAATTTTAAGATAAGTACCCTTCTTTCATCTAAATCAAATTTCTATAAATATGTGCCTTTAAATCAATAAATTTTAACTTTTAATCAGTTTTTAGCATTAAAAAATACTTGAAATTGCTTATTGCCTGTGGCTTCCTTTGTTAAACAATTCCGAACAGACGCCAACGTTATCAGTTCATGTCTGTCGTCACTTACAAAGCCCCCTTATCTTGCTTTCCAGGAATCTCGTGAGAGGGAAAATAGGGGACTCACGGGCATCGCGCTATTTCCCTCTCGAATCCTTTTGGATTTCTTTTTTTTTTAGATCGCTTAAATATATTTTTGCCTTTAAATAATATTATACCTCACCGATTTTTTTTCCTCGTACTGTTCCTTGCTATCTGTTAAATGTCCATATGTAACGGATGGAATTATTCGTTCACTGCCTTAAATAAATTCTTAGAAGTATGAGCTTACAGAAACAACAGTGTCCCTCATTGTGTAATTAATTAAGTAATTAATTGTGTAATTAATTAATTAAGTAGTAATAAATTATGATAGCAAAATAATAAATCTTGTAATAAATTATGATATATAAATTAATAAATACTATGTTTAATTTGTGTTTTTAATACATATGCTCAGTAATTTACACACACACACATATATATATATATCTTTTTTTTTTTTTTTTTTTTTTTTTTTTTTGTGTGTGTGTGTACGGTTGTGGTCTTGTATTGTATATGGTTCTGTCTTGTTTGTCTGCTGCTGTTTTTTGCAAAAATGTATGAAAATGTTGGGAACTAAAATAGCACAATTTACTTTAGTTAAATTAATATATACTTTGTATGATGACTTTTGTTGATATCTCAGGATGCAATACATATTACTTTGCACATACTCAGCATACATATTACTTTGTATTTCATGCTAAATACCTTGATACGAAGCAATCAATATTTTTTTCTCCCCCAGTAACACATCTATTCATCATTACCAAACACACTCACCACACACACACACACTTGTGAGACACTATTTATTGTAAATGAAGACAAATTTTCCTCCTTTAAACTACACTCATGGACACAATCGTATTTTAGGATATTTTCTACTTCTTTTCCTTTCCTTTCTATAGGCCCCCCCTTTTTTTTTTTCCTCTCTATTCTTTTTGGGCCATTTAGTTTAAATTTTATTTTGTCCCATCTTTTCTTCCTGACCTTTTGAACTCGTGCAAGATGTACGAAGTTCCCTTTTTACTCTCCTCAGATACGAAATTGCCCCCTTTCTATATACCTTTCCTTCGCACCTATGCTTGATTTTTCGCCCATCGGTGCAGAAAGACTTAGCGGGTGCAAAACAAGACATCTGTCTACTTTGTCTGTCTGTCTGTCTGTCTTTTGCTTAAAGAATGTTTTGATTATTCATGAGTGTGTTTAATTCGGTGCTTACTGCAGAATGGATGAGTATTTGAATCTGGATTTCTTTTATCAGTTGGAGCGAAGAGGTAAAAAAAAAGCGTTATTGAGTGGTGTATGGAGAAAAGGTTTGATTGCAATATCGTATAAAGTGCCCGATTTGTGAAACTGAAATATGAAACTAGTAGAGCGAAAAAACCGTATAGACGGTTTTGAGTGGATGTGGTAGAGTTACTGGAGGCGAATGTAAGCATCGAATTTCAAGATCAGTTCGAAAGAACTCCTGGTTTGCGAAGAGTAAATTGAGCATGTGTGAA